CAATTTAGTGGAATGGGCTAAACCATACCTGGCAAACAAACGTAAAATATTTCGTGTATTGGACACACGGCTTGAAGGACAATATTCAACGGATGATGCCTATAAAGTGGCCAATCTTGCCTTGCGGTGCCTGTCAATAGATTCCAAGTTCAGGCCAAACATGGATGAAGTGGTCACAACATTGGAGCAGCTGCAGGTTCATAATGCAAATGGAGGCAATCAAAATCCTTCTCGTGTTAGAAGAAGAAGTGCTGATGTAAGTAGAGGCTATCAAAATCCTTCTGTTAATGGATCTCGAGTTCGTAGAAGAAGTGCTGATGACATTAGCCGCATGGAGACTCCCTCAGCTTATCCCAGGCCCTCTGCATCCCCTCTCTATACATGACATGACATTGCAAACACAGCCTTCAAACTTAACATGATGCTGCTTCTGATCTTGTCCATGAGCTCATGCACCTGTGTAGCTATTACACTGTACATATCATATTTCACCCATTATATTATTCAGTATCAAACTATTATCGCCCATAGCTAGTCCACCACCATTAGTATTACTCTTTTTCTTAGATCTGTGAAAGTGAAAGTGTGTGTAACTACTATTAAACTAGATGGGAAGACAGGTACATTTGTATGATTGTTCATTTTTGTTGTCTATATTAGGGTGGTATGGTTTCCTATTGTATTTTGTAACACCTCGTTGCCTTGTAGGACTTCTACATCAAATATACGAAATACATAGAAAAGCTTGTACTATATCCTGTTCCACTTTCTTGTGAATGACTCGGCTGTATCAATGAAATGATGAAATTTTGCAATATGTTGAGTACTATTCAGAACTTACAATGAATACTGAAGCAGTTTGGTTATAATCAATGAATTGCACAAGAAGACAAGGACATAAATCTAGGCGTTTCCATTTCAAAAAGCATTATTATGGAAGCAACTTTTTACTGCATGTCGTGTTACTTGTGTTTCATTAAAGTAAGTGACAGTAAAAACCTGAATCAAATCCTCCTCCTAAAGTCTAGAATGTTGGCCCACTTATGAAGATAACGTTGCAGAATGTTTGAATTATTGTGAAGCCGTACTACAAATACCTTTTTAATTGTGTTCCCATTTGATGACCAAAATGTCAAACCTGTACTTGATTCATGGTTTTTGATGGTGAATTATAAGAAGCCACTATGTATATGTCTATGTCTAGAGAAATTGTTGTGACTACTTACTCACTCTTTCTATTTATTAAATAAATCAATTTTTAGTGTCCAACTTGAACTTGTTATCTGCCATTTTAGGTATCAACCTTTTAAAAATGTCTGAATGACATGTTTGGGCCAGTAAAGTGTAATTTCATTGAAAACTAAAATGCAACTTCTGAGGACCCTTTTTTTGTACGAGATTCTTTCATATTCTCAATGGATTAATCATAAGATTCGATTTTTAGCTTTCAAACTTAAATTTAAAGGCAAAACCTGTTAGCATTTAAAATGCTTTATATTGATGTATTTTTTTAAAAAAGTTTACTATTGAAAGTGTAGAAAAAGAAATTCTTAGCTTTAAAGAAATTCCTTGGTTGGAAGAATCATGTTTGGTGACATGTCATTGCTAACATTACAGTTTTAGACCCTGTTAGGATTGCTTAGGCCCACCTTATTAAATAATATAAAAACGTGGGTCCAACATCATCAGGCCTGATTAGCTAACCATATTCTATTATCCTCCTACCTTCACAACATTGATAATATCAAATAATATAGATTGGATTTCTAAATTCATTTTAATTAGATTATATCTAGTTTACATGATGTTTTAAAATTAAAGTTAATTTTATATCTTATTTGCACTCAACTTGGTTATATGCATTTAATCCTACTTGACTTAGTTTAACTAATTAATTAAATCTCAATCTGATATAAATTCAGTTTTATCCATCTTATACAAGTTTTATTAGATTCAATTTATTTAAATTCTATCCTACTCAACTTAACTTAGTTCTGAGATGCACCTAGTCTAACTTAGCTTTAAGATAGTCTTGTTAAATTTATTTTTGACTTGGTTAAATCTTGCATGACCTAGTTTTAAGACTATTTGAGTTAACTTATAATAATCTTGTCTATCATACATGATTGTAGTTTTATCTAATCTTTCAGAATTTGAAGTGATATATACTCACCTAAATTTTTAATATTGAAAATTTAAAACACTATTCAATTCAAATTTAATTAAATAGATTTAACTTAAAATTAAAAAAGTATGGATTTATATTTAAAATAACTTCTTTAAAATAAATTTGAAGTTATAAATTAAATTTAAAAATTTATATTTTTTCTCTCGCTCCTATAATTTATTATAATCATGAACTTTATGAAGTCATCAAATGTTAATTAACATTACAAAACACAAAATTTGTCAATAACATAGACTTGATGTCTTTTGAACTAGGATCTCTCTAAATGGCCCTCTATTTCAGCTATATCACCACTAAAAGTACTAAACACTCTTTATTCTTAGCAAAAGACTCACTTCATTTCAAAAAATATTCGTATGATTTGTAGTAATTTATCTTCTGTAGAAATATTATAAATTTAAGTATTTATGTGTTAATAATTGAAATATAAGATTTAATCAGACTTAAACTGCTAACTTTATGAATTTCAATATCAGCACAGTTTCAGCTTGTGCTGTTTAATAATTGTATGAGAATGATCAACTTCTACCCTTAAAAAGTAATTATCATAAAAAAAATGTTTTCAAATCTAAAAGGAAGAAGAAAATTTAATTAAGATTAGCTGGTTTTAAAGCTGGCTATTTGATTGTTCTAAAAACCTTAATTTATATCAGATTTACTGATTTTATTTATAGTATTATAAGTTATTTTATGAAATTCTATATTATTATTTTCAGAGCATTAAAGTTAATAAATAAAAGTGTGCTACTGGAGATATATTACCACTCAAGTTTTATTCACCTACCTTTCATTAAAAAGAACAAAACCTCGTGAATGAACAAAATAACTTAATCCAACTCTGACAATAACATCCACTTCCACTAAGTACAAATTTTATTTGATTTTTTTAGCAGAGATGATAATGAAAATGACTATATAGCTGCAAGTACCAAATCTGTTCAATGACTTTTTATATATATATTTTTCATCGTACATGTACGTACAAATAAATAAATATATATATATATATATATATATAATATTTATTATCTTATTTTCCTATTGATAATTTAAAAAATATAAGTTAATTAAATATTTCACATAAAAGACTATATTTAAAATTGCAGAGCTTAACTGCAATTAATAATTAATCATTGTTTTATATAAATTTTAAAGATATACTGCGATAAAACTTATAATAAAGGTGAATTTGATATCATAAAAAATAAGATAAATACATATAATTTCAACGATGTAATAACAAATAAGTCACCAAATTTTATAACTCGACCATACATTAATAAACTTTATACCTCAATACAAATCAACCTCAGAATTTTTCATAACTTAATATCAATTTAATCAAAGAAAAATACTGTCTTCCTTTCCTTGTCAGAAAAAAAATAGCAGTTAGTTTTGGTCCTGAGAAGAGACACGTGAAGAAAAAATACTTAAAAATAAAAAATAATTAAAATAATGAGAAACAATATCAAGAAATATTATTATTTGAAAAGAAATGTTATCCTCTTTCTATAAACATATAAATCAATTAAAAAATACATAAAAATAAAAAATAATTAAAATAGATGAGAAATAATATCAAGAAATATTATTATTTGAAAAAAATAATGTTATTCTCTTTCTATAAACATATAAATCCATTTTCTATCAATGCTAACAAATTAACAAGGGATACAACTTAACTACAAACATAATTATCAAGCATCTTATAGAGAAAATAGATAAAATATGTGATTTTTTAAAATATTAAATTATTTTGGATTTACAGTAAATGAGTATTTGGTATGACAGCATTGCAGGCAATGATATTATCTGATATCTATGCAAAGGCATAGGTAGGCCTTCTTCGTTACGTCTATTCAGAAGGTATGATTCTCTTCACTTTCCTTGTATTGTACTCAGTCGTTATATACAAATCTCTCTCGTTACCCAAAAGCTCTTTTTTCTTCTGTATGTCATCGACACAGAGAAAAGTGCTTCCCCATTATAATATTATTGTTATTTATGAGATAATAATATTCATGAGATAATAAGATAAGGGACCACTGAATATCAGACAGCACCATGGTGTAATTGTTTTGACCATATGATACGTGTAATGAGTTCATATACAGTTCATGTAGAAAAACAAAGAAATGCTCACTCTTTTCTCTCTCGTAGGACCTTCACTCCTTCGTCCTTCTCCATGAACCTTAGCTAGCTCTATGACCATCACGCTGCAATAGACTCTCCATAGCCTTTATAGACCCAAAATGATGGTCCCTCATACAAACATATATAAGATAGTACAAAAGTACACTTCTGTAGCAGCTTTGAAATTGACAGCTACCAGCTTATCTAAGATATTGCATCATCTAATTCAGCTTTTTACAACAGATAGTCTGATTCACTATCACCAATTAATCACAAGCCATGCCCTATGAATCATCCTCACCATAATTCCACTAAAACGCTCTTTTCTCCGTTTATTTACACCCCTGCCACTGGTTCATTTTCAACTCATTGTTCTATAACCAGTTTCTATCTAGTTATGTGAATCCTCACAACACCACTTCGTACCGTTTTCTTTCCTACATTAATTAATGAACATCTTAGGGTTTTAAGGTAACTTCTGCATGCAATGTTCAGTCATCATAATTAATGCATAAACTAAAAAGGCCACAACCTAGCTACCCCCACCTGAACTCTATCTATACCCTCGGAATTTCATTTCATTTCACTTATCTATGCTACGCTCCTGTCTCTTTCAATACTCAGATCAAACAACTCGGTAAGCAAATTAATTAGTTGACACACATGAATTTAATTCACATTTAATAGAATAGTGCTGGAGAATTTCTTTCTTGAAAAGATATCTTTATCGCGTGCAAGTTCAACCATTACAAGCCTGAATTCAATTAGCTACTACAACAACCTTGAACCAAGGAAACAGCAAATACATGTAGAAGAGAGAAAGTGAAAAACAAAGAAGGTGGGATATGAAAATGCATGTTAGGGTAGGGTGGTAGGGACTGATAAGGACATTTTTGAAGCTAACTAGGAGAAGGTAAGATTTGATGGTGGAAAATATAAGCAGTTTGCATGAATTTTTAGATTCACATCTGTCGTCTAGGCTTGGTATAGCGTAGTGGGGTCACGAACCTGAAAGAAAGCGCTATTTTTAACGACGATGTCGTACAAATGGAAGTGCTTAAAGTTAGAGAAGCTTCTGGGGAGGGATATGAGATGTGAAGAGGTGTCAGAGCGGTGGAACTGGATGAGGTCGGAGCAGTCTGAGTCCCGGTAGCGAGTCCATCCGAGTTCGGTGAGTCGCTGCTCAAGTTCCGTGTAGGAACGAATGACCTGGTTGCTTGGGAGATAGACCAAGACTCTTGGTCTGGCACCTGGTGCGGTGGCTGTACCAGGATGTTTCGGATCTTTCTGCTCGAAGGATTCCTTTGTAGGGTTTGTTATCAGCCTCGTCACACCGTTCTTGTCGAAAACCCACACACCAGACATCGTCGCTCTCTGTTCTTCGTGAATGTCTGATACTCCTATGCAACAGCGATAACACTCTGGTGCTGTAAAACGTGAATACCTTCTTCCTTCAATACATAAATATATATATATATGAACACAGATCTGCTTACGGGAGAGCTGCACTCTCGTTTGAAGCTACTTTTATTTTACCCTATTATTATTCTCATTTTAAATAATAAAATATAAATAAATAAATAAATCATACCATTAAAAACCCTTTCTCTTCTCTGTCTTCTTCTTCTTTTTTTCCCTACTGTAGCGTGCAACAGAAACATAACTAAATAAATTATTATTTTAGTACCACGTGTATTGACATTAATTATTCTTAAAATTTAAAAAATATATATATATGATCAAGTTTTTCATTTTTATATATTTATTCTTTCATCTATTCTCCACGTATCAATATTATTATTCGGGTTTTTTAATATCTGATTAACATATTTGACAGAATTTTTTTCTAGATTCTTTTTGGTTTGTACAAGTCGTATTTGAAGTGATGCTGTTCTGATATATAGACATCCACGTATTAGAAGGTACTTTATACGTTTCTAGTAGGGTGATTTGTACGATTTTATTATAATGATTATATTATCTTATGTTTAATGAATTAAAACATTAGAAAAATAATATTTTCGATGAGTGTGAGTGGACATTTATATTTTAAAATGTGTGTGATTTGCACAATGCAAAGTTGAATTAAGAATGATCACATAAGGTGTGTTAAATTGGGTTGTAATGTATTAATAATTATGAGTTTTTAATGTGTAAAAATTAAAGAGTGAATTTTTTATAGACTAAAACGAAAATATGAAAAAACAACTTTGAATTTGTTTTTCAGTAGCAAAGACCAAATTGATCTTAAAGAAAAATTTCATCTTATCTTGACAAATATAATATAATTATAAAGATTAAAATAAATTGATGATTTTTTAGCTGTTATATTTAAGAAGAGATTGAATTTGAAGAAACAAGATCTCAGAGGATGAAGATGAAGCAGTTAAAGGTCGCTTTATGTGACGAAAGATTTCAGAAATCCATTGTCATAAATGGAAAGATATTGATTGTCAAAACTGTATTTTTTGTCACTATTATTATTTAGCTGCTCAAGTGGGCATGCTTATGCTGAATCCACTGTTCATTTTTTTGTTCTATTATTAGAATTTTGGAGTCAGACACACATTTATTTACTCACTACAAAACTCACACTTCTCAATTTTGTTTTTTTACATGGTTGTTTCCAATAGAATAAAATCAAAGTTTTCACAGTACTTTCTTTTATTTATTTATGCAAATTATATCAACAGTTTCAAATAATTTACTTACATTATTAATAGACTTCTTTAATTTCAAAAGCAGATTTAAATAATAAATATGATGCATAAAAATAATAATTCCTTATTAAAAGCCTATGAGATCAACCAAGGGAGGTTTTTCTCCCTTTGACAGCAACTTTTTTTATCACTATTCACTCTTTCTGTCAGTATCTTCTTTTCTATCTAGGCTTTACCCTCTCTTACCATTTTTTCACTTTACTAATTTCCCAATCATATCTTCTACTTTTTCTCAAACCTTTTTTTCACTTTCAGAAACACTTTTTGAAATTCAACCAAGCACATTAGTTTCATGGAAAATGAGCACCACCAAATTCTTCAATAAAATTTTAATAAAATAATGATATTAAACTATTTTTATTCATATATATATATATATATATATATATATATATATA